TTGCTCCCCTGCTTTGCTTTGGTTTGGTTTTTTTTTCCCCCCCTTTTCACATCTTTTTTCACTCCGATAGGAAAAAGAGAAAATAGTCGCTGCTATCACTGACTCCCCGAAGCCGCCACCAGAGCGAATAACGTTAACTCTGCCGGTGCTGAACGCGGCGCGGATGGTTGTGTTTGTGGCGACGGGGGAAGGCAAAGCTGCTGTTTTAAAGGTTTGGACTCCAAATCCTTCGTTTTCCTCACAAAATTCCAAGGAATTGGCACTCGTGGCGGTTTCGGTTAACCTCCAGATCGTTTTAGGCGCAGTTTGAGGTTCCTTTTTGCCGGCCGCTGGGCTGAGGTGCCGTTTCCTCTCTCCCGACAGCGCATTTTGGAAGGCGACGAGGAAAACCCCCTTCCTGCCGCTCGCGTCCGGCCTCGCTCCGGGCAGCTGCGCTGGTTCCTGGATGAGTCGGCGGCCACGGAGCTGACCGTCCCAGTGGAGAAACATTCCATCTTGTAGAGCCGACCGCCGGTCAGGTTTCCGGGGGGTTGGGTAGCTGTAACCGCAGCGCCGGCTGCGTGACATTCCAGGTGAAGAACGCCACCTTCGATCGTAGCACTCGGTTGTGGCACAAAATGCACTTAATTATATATTTTTTTTTTCCTTTTTCTGGAACAAACGGTGCTTTGCCGACACGAATTTGCACGTAGTAATTCCTTCGGTTCGTTGGGGGCTGGGTGCTAGGTTGGAATTGCCGCGCGGTGACGGCGTGGCGTGGTTCGTTTTGGTCGCTGTGACGCGAAAGGGGTGCGCGAGATTAAACGGACGGATTTCAGCTCTGCTGCTCCTGGTTCTTTGTCCACCTGGCCACGCTTCGGCCACGAAAATGAGGGACTCGCGGAGCAGACGTGGGGTTCGGGGTGCTGCCGTGTCGGTGGTGAGAGGACGGACGGACGCTCGCTTTCCCTTGCTGGTTTGTTGGATTGGTCTTTGTTAATCCTGGCTTTAACTGGGATTTAGTTCTTGCCTAAAAGTTGGCGTCGGTGACTCCTCCCTACCTGTTTTTTCACGTTCCTGCCTGCGTAGCCGTGAGGTTTCGGCTTTCGGTGGTGAAGAACGCTTTGAGATTGCACGGTGTCTGTTGGTGCAGCGGGAAGAGCGCGGCGTTCCCGTGTCGACGGATGAAGAAGCCGAGTTGGCAAAAGCAGATGACTTTTACGCTCTAGGAAGCGCAGCGTTTCCCTGCCAGATCTCGGAAAAAAAAAAAACACAACAGAAAAACAGCAAGAATTGAGGTTCCTGGGCCAGATGTGGATTTTTACAGGGGTGCTGCGCAGAAACCGGGTGGGACTTGGGGCGTAAAAGCCCCGAACCTGCGATACGCGGCACTGCCATCCCTTGACAGCATCTTTCAGAGCCACAGAGTTGCTGCCCGCTAGAGCACGAGCGATTCAGCCTTCGTCGGCGAAGTTCTGGGGGTTTTGGGTCATCCCTGCCATCCGTGGTCGTCTCTAGCGCGGCCTTGCTGGGGGCGGGTAGGGATTTTGGGGAGAGCTGCGAAGGAGGACTGGTTGGTGTCTGTTGGTGGGATCTCTAAAACCAGTTTTAAGGAGATCTGGACAGAAAGCGTCAAGATTTGTGAGTTAATTATGAACGTAACTAAAATTGCATTCGTATCTGCCCAGCGGCTGAGCTCGGCGTCTTAAAAACGCAATGCAAAGCAGTCGCGCGTGGATGAGACTCTGAAACTAAAATCTAACGCAGATTTAAAGTAGTATGCGCAGTTCCCCAACAAACAAAAGTTTTAACGCCATGGTTTTGGCAAATGTGAGCCCAAAAACGCGCGGTGGTAAATTTTCCTGCAGCCGGTCCGTGGTGCCGTGGCTGTGGAAACCTGCGTCTCTCATGCGTGGCAACGCTGCGTTACCCCGGCAATCCCGAAACCTTTTTTCTATCCGGCTTTATGGCTTTTTCTAAAAAAGCGTTTGGGCGTTTCTGACCAGCGCCGGGGCGGATGAAAGCGCTGGATATTTCTGCTCAGAGTTTCCTGTTTCTGCGCAAGCCGTGGGGCGCGAAGGGTGTCGAAACCCTGTGGATCGCGTAACGGTAAAAAGGGCAGATGTCGTTCAGCTCGGGTGGGGAAGCGCGAGCAGGTGCAGAGCGCAGCAGCGAGTGGGGCCGTTTCCACAACGCGCTCTCAAATTTGGAAATAACTCAGAAAAAAGCCCCTCGCTGTATCCCGCTCGGTCGCTCCTGCGTCGTTCCCAAATTCCTCGCCCCTTCGCGCTGTTGTGGGGCGTCTGCTGCGACCGGTAGCGAGAGGGGGGAGATGAAGCGGGCGGAGTTGTCTTGAATAGTTGCGCGGTAATTAACCGGTAATTATTTTTAGGATGGAAATGGGATGCGTGGGCGAGTGAAGAGACTGAAGTAGCGCAAAACCCTGGGAT